CAATCACTGGAGTAAAACAAAGCCAAATCCTCAGATCTCTGACAACAAAGGGGTTTGATTTAGTGGTTTAGTCTGGGAACGGAAGTGTTTAGTAAACAAGCAATGTCTGTGGAGCAGTCGGCATAAATACAAAGTTTAGGATTTGGGATTTATTTTGTGAGAACTTAAAAACGAAGACAAAAATAAAAAGGCTCCGTTACCTCTCTGCCAGTTGATCTGTGTTGAACTGTGCCAACTATTTCTTGTTTTGGATTGGTTTTGATGGTTTATCTCATTTGTATTTGATTCTCCTTTCATCCTGGCTTGTAGCTACATATGCATGTTTATGTAAATTATCAGTTAAAATGATGAGTTATCCTGTTAAGCACATGCCATGGGTCAGATTTGACCTACCTACTTACCCAAATAAATAAATAAAATGACATTTGTGTTTGATTCTCCTTTCAACTTCGTATATTTAAGTAAAATATGGTAAGAATTCAGCTTTAAATAAATAAATAAAATTTGTTCAATTAATTAGATATCATTTTGTATTTAATTGTAATAGTATAATTCTGTGCAAAAATAGATATTTTGAAGAAAGAAAACGAAGAAAATAAAGTCTTTTTTTTTTGGAACATTACACTTTTTGCATTGGGACATTATTTTCATGACAATTTAAGCACTTGTATTTTTCATTTCAACAATCAATTCAGATACTATAAGTTGCTTATTTTATGGCGTTTTCTGTGCATACATAGGTAAAGACTGTTGCACCATTATCTACATGAATTTTCACTGTGGTATCATCTAATGCAGATACATTCACCCCTAAATGCCACATGAAAGGTAATTTTGCATGTCAGTAAGTGACGTTTTTGGCTAGGATATGCTGCGACGTGGACCAGACCTTATACTGTTTACTCTATGGGTTTGGCTACAATAACTATGTTAAATGTGATTAATGCATGAAAATTATGCCACACACACACACACACACACACACACACACACACGTCTGGTTGTTTGGTTGTGTTGTGAGCATTTGCAGCGCGTGTGTTGTCAAATTGATGAAGTTGTTTTCTTAATTTGCAGGTGTTTTTTCTATTTGCAGCACGTTGAGCTATCTCGGTCACCGTAAATAAATGGATCATAACTATTCCATAAATATAATTTAGTACAATTAAGTAAAATTTAGAACATTATCAAACTAAAATATAGTACACTCATTTCATTTTTGACTGCCACGTGAGCAACTTTCTTTCTTCTGTGAAACATAAAAGTATTTTAAAGAATGTTGAGGTCCAAACAACATTGGACCCACTTGCATATCATTATATGGACAAAAAAACAAACAAAAAAACACCTATGGCAACCGCATAACAAAGCCCTGCAACCACCCTCAAAGCCTCAGCATTATGGTGTGATTTTTGTATGTACAAGAACTGATCAAATTTCCTTTAGAAATTTAAAATGTAGCCATTTTTTCTGTTACTTCTTATATTTTCAAACTATATTGATATAAGCACTAGTTTATTGCCTATTGCAATTGTTTATTCATTTTTTTTACAAC